CCACATCAGTAAATAAAACACATGCAAGTGCAAAAGAATAACACAAAAATAAATAAAACACATGCAGTGTGGCGGAGTACCGTGGTACACCCCAGAAGAAAAATAAAAAGGTTGGGCTGTCAAGCATCTGCACTCGCACAGTCCGGCCTAGACCCAAGACAAACTCGTTGGTTGACTAGGCTTTCTCGATAACTTTAGTTAATTTTCTGGTAATCTATTGTTCTTTCTTTGATCCTTGAGTCGAGGTTCATCTTTGCTCTGTCGTGAAGTTGAGGTCTATCCCAGCTTCGTCATGTAAGTCCCATTTCTGACTATCCAGACAGCCATAGCTAATAAACAATAGACAAACTACTCTAACTTTGCTATAGATTTGATTGCATTAAAGTGAAATCAAAGGCTATGTAGAAAAGCGCTATTACTGTAACATGTAAAGAACATAACACAAAGCAAACTAGGCAAACCATATTGACTTAGCGTCCTCACGATCCTTTATCTCGCTAAATGGGGTCAGTTACATGAATCCTTTTTTTCCATTGTGTCCTATTGAGTGTCATATTTTAATTTAATTCTAATAAATTTAGAACATTTTTAATAAATATGCCCAAGTCTTTTTAGGTCTACCTTTGCATTTCTTAGCATAAATTGAATCTAAAACATCTACTCTCCTAACTGGATCATTAGATGATCGACGTTTAATGTGATTAGAACATTTAAGATGACTCTCCTGTATCTTGTCTAACATTGGATCTACACCAACTCTTTTACAGATGTATTCATTTCACATTGTTTCTAAGTGTCCAGCCACTCATCCACCTAAGCATTTTCATCTCAGAAAATAATGTTAGTCTAATAAACGCCGTTTTAGCATCCAGCCTACGCAAACAAGAACAACCCTAAGTCTCCATCTAAAATGACAAAATCACATTCATCAAACTCATTCAATCCAAGCATGCAGCACACAAAAAAAAGCGCACACAATCTACCATCGGCCTAACCTAATATAGGTTAGTTGACTAGCAAAATGTCTAAAGAAGTATTGTATGTGAGATAGTTGTGCTTTCTTTATGCTTGAGCTGTTGTTTAAGTTTGGGGTTCAATTTATTACCATTGGGTGGTTTAAGTAAGTTGTTTTAAGTATTGTGCAAGTATTTAAATTCCGAATTTTAATTTATGTTCACTTTAATCTAATGTTACAAAAGTTGTGAAAAGCGAGAATCGTCTATCCAACGGTTTCGCTAATCACTTCTCCTTGGTTTTAGGACGAAGGGGCACTTTATTCGGAGGGACAAGGTACACCACCCTGGACAATTAATATGATTTAATTAGCTCTTTTACTTTTGATTTGACATTTGAGTTTGAGTTGGGTTTATGTTGAATTTATGTTCATTTTTGCTTTGGATATGTCTAAATTCATTATTAGATAAATTTGGGCTTAAATTTGACTTTAAGTTAACTCAGTTTAGTTTTAATTTTTTGTTTAAGTTTATTATATCTTTCTTAGTTTATATTTATTCTGATTATATTGAATTAAAGTTTATTATGATTTAGTTTGATTAGTTCTTTGATTTAACTTAGTTTAATTTATGTCTTAGTTGAGTTAATCAATATTTAATTAATTTAACTTGATTTAATTTAAGTTAATGTTTAACTTTAATTAAGCTAATTGATTTGATAAAGATTTAATTGATTACCTTAATTTTGTTCGAGTTAAATGTTTAATTTTAGTTAAATTAGTTAATTCAATAAAGATTTAATTGAGTAACTTATCTTAGTTTGATTTAAGTTAAACATATAAGTTCAAGTTTGATTAAAATATATGCTTATAAATGTGATAACTGACATGCACAATAATGGATGCACATGCAAGCAAGCAATGAATACACGTCATGTAGTGATGTACAGATGTTATATAAAATTTCTACAAATACAAGGCATGAAAACTGATATAATAAGATTATTTAATATAATGCTAGAAAGCATAAGAAGTCTTATTGAAATCAAATGGCATGAGGGTTGGACTTCCAAATGGGATTGAGCTCATAATCAAAGAAATACTTGATTCTTTCCTTTGTATACAAGAAATCATAGGATGATAATATTGTGAAATTTTATATGATTCTTGTGAATGTCAGAATTAGCAAATCAAGCATGATTAGATTACTATATTTTTCATATTTGGATGTCACATAACACAACCCACATATTCTAGTATTTTTGTTGTGGCAATCTGAAAGTTATGTCAACAATAAAGTTATGTAATAATATGTGTATGAAATAAACCTGATTTGCTTAAAACTTCCTAAAAGAATCATAGCTTCAATGCTTGATCAAACAAGTAGTAAATGTGAATTTGATATTTTGCATTGGCACAAATCATTCCAACATGCTATGCATATTCATATCCCTTAATTAAAATGCGAATGATCTGTAAGATTCTAACAAACTTATGCATAGAAATTTTCAAAGGAGCAAAATAGGTTAATTTTACACATTCGCAATGTGATTAGTTTGGCCGTTTTGTGCAAGAAAGAAAAGGAGTTTTTGGTTGTGCTTCTCTTGCGGCCTGGCTCACGTGAATGAAAGAAGGAGATGGGGAGTCCTCATTCTCTGGTTGCTAGGTGCTCCTTGTGCGACTCCAAGAAAGGGGACATGGGAGTTAAAACCGAGAGAGCCCGACCTAGGGCTTGCAGTTTTGTGCAAATAGGAGCCAGTGGGTTTTCATGAAAGTGGAACATGTTGAAGCTTCTTGCTTTCGGTTGGAGAGTCACAAAGGAGAGAAGGATTTAAGGCTTGGGATTTTGTTTTTCTTTTACACCCACACCACCCAATTATTTTATATTTACATAGATACCACTTACATTCTTTTCATGCATAGAAGAGGTGGCATGTTGGTAAAAAAAGAGGGGGGGGGGTTAAAAAAAGGGGGGGGGGGGGGGGGGGTTTATTTACATTGGAATTGGGTGGTATTTATGTAAATTTTCTCTTTTTTATTTTATTTCTTTGTTGATTAGGTTTCAATTAGTTTAATTTAGTTTAGGTATGATTTAATTGCAGCTTAGGATTAGATTTAAATTTCATTTAACTTAGAATAATTTAAGTTGAGGAGTAGCTTAATTTTTTGTTTAACTTAGTTTGAGTTAATGTTAAGTTTTAAATAAATTTAGATTTTAAGCTTAGCTTAGATTAGACTTTAAATTTTATAATTAGGTTATGGGGTTGGATTAATTTAAATGTATATTTTGTTTAATTCAATTTTAGTTGGTGTTTTTAGTTTTAAGTTGATTTTAATTTATGTTTTATTTCCATTTTAATGTTTATATTAGATTGTTAGGTTATAAATTATGTTTAATTTTAAATTTAGTTTGTTTAAGTTTAGGTTTTAATTTCATTAAGTTTAAGTTATGTTTTGTTTAAATTAAATTTAAATTTTTGTTAACTTCAAGTTGATTTTAAATTTTAAATTCTAGTTAAGATAAATTTAGGTTAAAATTTAACTTCAATTTTAATTTATATTTTAATTTAGATCTTAGTTTAAGTTATAAGATTTTAAATTACTTTTTTGTTTTGATATAAATACTTTAGTGATTTATCATCATCATCATCATTGTTGTTATCCTCTAGATTATTGTGGCCTCAACACACCCTCAAATAGAGTCCGATTTGGACACGAACGGGTTTATTTGAAAAGTTTTGATGATTCAAATGTGATTCATTTTGCGAAAAAATGCTTCGAAAGAACTTTTTTACATGGGAGAATGTTACATGCAAAAAGAAAAAAAAAAAAAAACTCTTGCCGCTCGAATTCACATAAAAATGGGGTCAAATTGCTATCAAACTCGTCACATGCTTCTCCAGCATGATGAGGAATGTGATGCAACATACAAAATAGAATTCGAAGTACTATGATGAGTCTCTTTTGACTACATTTTTTATGTTAAGTTGAATTTAGTTGAAAACTAGATTTTAGTTCTGGTTTAATTGAATTAGAATTAAGTTTAATTTTAGTTTTAATTTGAGCCAAGCCCAAGACCTTGCAAGCCACCCAAGCCCTTATATCAGGCCAAGATCAACCACCTAAGGACACTGAACGAGCCCAAGCCTAGATAGAAGAATGGTGAGGAGTCTTGACAAAAAATGAGGTTAATAGTTTATTTTTTCTTATTTTTCACCTTGTGCCTCACACAATCCATAAAGTATTACACTATTTCATCTCTCTTTGCTTTTACATACTTTTTTCCAACATAATTTGACCCATCTACTAAGTTTTTGAGTATTATATCAAAAAATATTTTATGTTCAAAGATCTAGGCCGTCCCAAATATTTTGTGGGAATTATGTTCACTTACAACAAAAGTGTTTTCTTCTTTTATGAAAATATGCTGTAAATCTGCCGATACTCCCAATGACTATAAAATGTTGCTAATCTCGTCGACATTGAAATGTTGTTCATGAAGAAATTTCCGAGGATAGTTTTATTTCTTAATGTCACCATGCTAGGTTTCTCTTTTGCTATGGGAGAATCATCAATTGGCAAATGCAAACTCTCAAATAAAAATATTCGAAAGCTGTTGAGAAAAGGATCACCATACACCAAGAATGGCACTTCAATGGAGGATACTAGTATTCTGAATTTGTTGATGACTGAAAATCTAAACTTGCTTGTCTCATATTTATTGCAGGTTATTTGGTGCCTAAAAGAGTAAGAAATAAACAATGGTTATTAGATCAAGCTTTACATAGTCATGATATACTTTACATGTGATATGATCTGGGGGAAGACCTTCTTGGGTGAATTTGGGTTCTCAATTTCATGGCCCATGCTCATAAACTATGACTGCCATCCTGCCTTTTATATTACCAGTAATGTTGTATTTCATGAAAGATAAATATGATCCGTGATGTGGTTCCGCTACAAAATTTCATTTTTCGTGTTTCCATCATAGAACATCCTGCAAATACACTTTGATTTTGAGATTCTCCATTTTTTTCCTGTCATGCAGAACAGCGAAGCAATGGTTTCCATCGACATGCCTGCCGGCCCATCGGAAGTTCTGGTCATCGCTGACAAATATGCCAACCCAGTTCATGTTGCTGCAGACCTCCTGTCTCAGGTATCTTCCACTAATCTTTTTCCATGAACTTGCTTCTACCTGCTAACCATGCTGATCTGCTTGTCTTTTTCAGGCAGAACATGGGCCTGATAGTCAGGTAGTTCTTGTCATTGCCGGAGATGGTGTGGATGTTGGTGCCATTGAATCCGAAATCAGTAAACAATGTGCAGGCCTTCCCAGAGGACAATTTGCTTCAAAAGCACTCGATCATAGCTTTATTGTTTTCGCTCGTGATATGGTCGAGGTAACTCAACTTGCTCGTTATAAAGCTCGAGCCAAGCTTCACCCAATTTCGTTGCCCGACTTCTAACAGTTCTCTTCTCTAGGCAATCTCCTTCTCGAACATGTATGCTCCTGAGCACCTGATCATAAATGTTAAAAATGCAGAAAAGTGGGAAAGTTTGATCGAGAATGCCGGTAAACTGATCCATCTCTACAAATATATTCATTCAAAGGAAAACTTATAGTTGTAGGAAAATTGATCATGTATGGAATCACTGATAAAGGAACGAATATTACGTGCGGCATCCGTATGTGCGGATCGATAGTATTGAGTTGGTGTTCAAGTGGATCCGCATCTAATCCGCACATATCATGTCCGCACCTAATCTCTTTACCTGATAAAGAGAGTATGATGATCTTAAATGTTGTCTCAGGTTCTGTATTTTTGGGGCAATGGAGCCCGGAGAGCATCGGCGACTACGCTAGCGGGACGAATCATGTCCTCCCAACTTATGGGTATGCAAAGATGTACAGTGGAGTGTCATTGGACTCTTTCCTTAAATACATCACTGTCCAGTCACTTACAGAGGAAGGATTGAGGAGTTTGGGGCCTTATGTGTCTAAGATGGCAGATGTTGAAGGACTTGAGGCACATAAGAGAGCTGTCACCCTCAGGCTTCAGAGCATGGAAGTTCCACTTTTGTTGTAGCCTTCAACATTCAGAAGTAATCAAAACAGAACAAGCAAATATTAATTACTATGTTTCTTCTAAATTGTCAACTGATGGTCAGATAATTACATAATGAAGCATGGAGTATAGTGTGTGGTAAACTTGTAAAATGTGGATTCTAAAAGATATATTTAAAATGAAATTTAAATATAATAATTGGTTATATCCAATCTTTCTAAATATGATTTAATTCATCATAATGAATTTGAGCTCTTTGTCACGGACAAATAGTCCCACATCGGCTATGTGTAGAGTTAAAAAACAGTATTTAAGTCTTGGGCTGCCCACCTCACTTAAGGGCTCTTTTGGGAGGTGACAAGTGGTATCAGAGCAGATTACTGCCTACCATGTGTGTGAACTCTCCATGGTCTAGTGGGACCCTTTGTGGAGTCGATCCGTGATGAGGGCGTCACGTGATTGAGTGGAGAAGAATGTCACAAGAATGTCAAGAATGTCACGGACAAATAGTCCCATATCGGCTAGGTGTAGGGCCAAAAAATAGTATTTAAGTCCTGGGCTGTCCACCTCTTTTAAGGGCTTATTTGGGAGGTGACATCTTGCTCTGTTTTCTCAACTCCGCCTCTTTCCTCTAGCCTTGATCTAAAATTTCTCTTAAAATTTTCACTAGATGGCTATTGTAAATTCTAGAATAATTTAGCCAATAAAAAGGGATAATTACATACAATCTGGCTGAAATATTGATATTTACAAACTCAAGTTATTTTTCTGAACTATTAAATTGATATACTTATGCGTTATGATTAAACTATTGAAAATTTGATAAAAATGAAATATATATATATATATGTATATTTGCCGTTCGCCGTTACCTGTTGGCAAAGCAGCCTCTCTGAAGATCGCAAGTCCTCTCAGGTTCGAGTTTAAATTCTCTGGTCAGTTTGTCGGTAGTGAGGGTGATCCTCGAATAGTTAGACACATGAGGGTGGTTGGGGGATGAGAAATGTTTTATTGGCTTAATTTGGCTGGTGAGGCCGGCTGAATTTAATATTTCCAAACCAGATTCAATTCATGTTTTTATTGCACGTCCATTTCAAAAGCCAAGCAACAAGTGGCAACTTGGAAGAATCATTATAACCTATTCCCAAAAAATTCTCATGAACGTGGACATAATTCGTCATATTTGCAACTTGCTCCCAAAATAGGTTAAATTTGCAAATGGTGTCCTTATTTCTATAATATATATACATATCTATATTCCACAAACATTTATTTTAGATTATATTTTAGATGACTTTGTGAATAAGTTAAATTCAATTTGTAGAAGTGTTAAGTTAAATTATATGATAATATTTGCACAATATTGCATGTCTGAAAATGATAGAGTGGAGGATTAATGTCTTAACGAAGCTCGAACGCATGATATAAACAATTAGCGACAATAGTTGAGCTATAAAATTAAGTCTTTAATAGTGATCGATGACAATCATCGAGAGGCATTGGCTTCATGCTTTCTTTATGATTGTGAACTAAATTTTTAGCTTTCTCTTCATTTTTCCTCCAAAAATTGGATTGTATTTAGAGAGTTTTGATAAGGGCTTTTTGATAAATTTAGCGAATATCCAAAAATACCCTATGGGACGGTCTGTGATGATCATACATCATTATTTCAATATTTAAGTGCATTGGTGACCTCAATTTTGAATGATTTTAGGTTTATTAAAATACTATCATCAGGACATTTGATGTGACCATAAACATGCAAATTCTAGATATCATTTCTCTTCAATTAATACTTTGACGCTTTTAATTATACTTCAAGTGCATGATTTGAGCCCATTTGGACTCGAATTAAGTTGAATTTAAGGTTGTTCAAATTTGTGTTTTTTAAATGTTCAATATGACTATAAATTTCTTGAAATAAGAGCTCTAAAAATAAACTTAAATCTTAAAATTATTTCATCTAAAATATATTGAGATTCATACTTGATCCATTAAATTTCTTAGTGATATATCAGTGCCCTCATATTTTTAGATGCAGAAGCTTTGTATATTTGAAAATATATTTTTTAAAAACTTAAGACAAAATTATAGCATCAAAGAAATTATAAGGTGCAATAGCTCTCTAAACATAAACTTTGGCTTCTCCTTTAGTTGGTCAATACTACTAAATCTTTTGAATCTTAATTTCAGTCATTCATGAGGTTGACATGTTAATTAGCACAAGAATTATCGACATAGTAAATTCTTTAACTTAGCTAGAATTTAGCTAATGGTGGCATCATTAGTTCTAAAAGTATCAAAATCAAGTTTGGAACATTGAAAAAAGGTGGAATATGCTTATTAAGGCTTAGGGTAAGCTGGGCAACCATTACCACTGTTGGTGGTGTGGTCACATGCATACAAACAAGTGCTCACACACAGGCGAGCATGTTCATGAGTGCTTTTGTAGGTGTGTAGCTCCACACATAGAATCATGCTCATGTTGATGCATTGCTACACTTGTAGGTGGACTCCTGCCCACATGTACAACCACAAAAGCAAGACCACCCACATGAGGCCTCAAAGTGGCTTTCGCAAGCACATATATGTGCTTGTGCAAGCAATGGCATGCGTAAGGTGGAGCGCGTGCAAGCGCAGTTGTGTGCGTGAAAATTGCTACAATAAATTCCAATTTTAAAATAAAAAATATAAAAAATATTTTATGTTTCAAACTAGCTATAAATTGCTAAAAAATTAGCATAATTGTTGTAGAAAATTTAAATTTTTGAAAAAAAAATTGTAAAAATTATGTAACTCCTACGTCTCATTTTCGTGTATAAATACCCTCTATATGAACACATTAATAAACATTATTTGTATAAAAAATGTTATGATTTGAACATATCTATACCTTTGAAGGCTTTTTAGTCGTATGAGATTTTTGATATACATGTATTTTTAGAGGCTCATAATCTTTGAGATTTCGAAAGTATATGCACTTATTGAGACTTGTCACATTTTGAAATATTTTAGTATAATATACCTTTTGAGGCTTATAACTTTTAGAGAATTTTGATATACTTGTAAAATTTAAAATCTTCTAAGATTTATGCGTGTCGTGCCCTTTGAAGGTTATTTCTTTTTGAGATTTTGTGAATACCTATATCTTTTGAGGCCTTTAATCTTCTGAGAATTTTGAGTTGAGATCTTATCAATCACTTACTTTCATCGAGTCTTTCTAGTGATGATCATATCTACTATTAGCTTCTTATCGAGACTTCTTCATTGCATGTAATAGAGACTCAATCTGTCACTTTCCATTATGAGATTGTTCCAATGAAAACTTTGCCTACTAGCTTTCTCATCAATGCTTCCTTTTGGGCTTACTTGAATGCATTGTTTTAGTGACATGATCTTCTGGCATAAAAGGGCAAATAATCTCCTCAAGAGATAAAATAAGTTACAGACTCCTTATTAAATAATTTGATTTTTTTTTTTGATGACTACTAATCTTCTATACGCTTCTTGTAAGTAATGATCTAGTTGGTCCTGGCTTATCAAATATTCAATTTTCTTATGTGGCTACATATTTTTATTGAGTGCCCTATTTAAATATGGAAGTGATAATATTGGAGTTGATCTCCATCATTTAGATTTTTTAGTGGCCATGGTCACTTGAATTGTTCAAAATCTTAAATCTCCATCAAAACATTAATTCTTGATGTATTTAATTTAATATAATTATTTAGCTTATGTTGATTTTGGCGAGAATGATTACTTTAAAATTTATGTGCTAAATTATAAGTATCTATCATTTAAAGTCTTAAGTTGATACAATTTTAGAAAAATATGTTGTATAATATGCAACACATAAATCCATGAATCCCAAAAGAATCACAGCTAGGGCGCAGTCGCGAAAGGTAAACAGATACGCGTGCCACGGGCTTCGACCCTTGACCGACATCTAATAGAATAGGATACGCGCATAATCTCAAAGAAGAATCACAGCTAGGGAGCAGGATGTCGCGGGGGTAATATCGCGAAAGGTAAACAGATACACGTGCCACGGGCTTCGACCCTCGACCTACATCTAATAGAATAGGATACGCGCATAATCTCAAACACATGTCAATCGCACGAAACAAAGATCCCAAGTGTGTTTTGAAAACGCATGAGCAGCAAATAAGCTGCCCCAAACGGACCCTTAGTCCCTAAATTTTAGAGTCTACTTGAAGTCTCCATCATTTAGTCTAAAAGGCTTTGCCAAACTTCAGTTAACTTAGGTGCTAAACTAGAAGTAGCCGTGATCACTTCAAAATTGATAGAATGTTAGAAAAATATGCTGTATAATTTGACAACTATTTTATAGAATATTAAAGAGATTTGTTCAAACTTTAACAACTTTGAATCCCTAAGCTTTGATAAGTCTTGTTCTACAGTAGAGAGTGGATCCTTTTTAGTTGTCCGGCATTCTTTCAACCCATTATGATTAATAACATCCATCTAACAAAATCTTGGCAACATTTTTCACATGCAATAACAGCTGCGTTGTGAGTAAAAAGGTTGTATCTATACCAAAACTACTTCTCTAAAGCTACATCTGCTTAATACTTCCTGATGAGCTTTTAGAGAAAAAAATAACACTAATCTCAAGCACAAATTAGCTTCATCGTCTCTCCCTGTTCTACCATGCAATTAGTTATTTTGCATGGATATAAAGATCTCTCTTTCTCTCCATAATAGGCAAGAACAAACTACTATCATGGTTTAGAAAATCGGATCAGACATTGAAGTGGTAAAAAAAGGAGGTACAAGATTTAAAGATTGAACCAAGACTAGGGATTGTACAAGGTGACCTCTAACGAAAAAAGATAAATTGAATTCAATATGGAAGAGAAAACACAACCAATAAAATATTAAAAAAGATGATAGACTACTTAAGTCATGCAAAAGACTTAAATGTTCAATATGATTTTTAATAAAAATATGACATAAGATAAAAAAATTACTCTAATCTATTGTTCGATTCAACTGCAGGTTCATTAGCCGGTTTGACCGTCGATTTTTTTCGATTCGATGTGGAGCCGTTTTTCAGCAAAATCACCAGCCAATTCACAGTCGAACCAATTGAACTGACCAACTTGATCTGATTTTAAATGGCTCACAACAATTATTCAAGAAAAGAAAAATCTCTCTA